CAACACTGGGCTGGTGGGTGAGAGAGACACATGGTTAGTTTTGCTCAGACCTTCAGTGGTGAAGGGTGTGTCCCAGCTGGCCGCCGCCACCCGCCGCCCACCACCAGCCGCCACCCGCCACCACCCACCACCCACCACCAGCCGCCACCCACCACCAGCCGCCACCCGCCACCACCCACCACCAGCCGCCACCTGCCACCACCCACCACCAGCCGCCACCCGCCACCACCCGCCACCCACCACCAGCCGCCACCCGCCGCCACCCACCACCAGCCGCCACCCGCCGCCACCCACCACCAGCCGCCACCCGCCGCCACCCACCACCAGCCGCCACCCGCCGCCACCCACCACCAGCCGCCACCCACCACCAGCCGCCACCCGCCACCACCCACCGTCAGCCGCCACCCGCCACCACCCACCACCAGCCGCCACCCGCCACCACCCACCACCAGCCGCCACCCGCCACCACCAGCCGCCACCCGCCACCACCCGCCACCAGCCGCCACCCGCCACCAGCCACCGCCACCCACCACCGCCACTCACCACCCGCCGCCACCACCCACCACCAGCCGCCACCCGCCACCACCCACCACCAGCCGCCAGCCGCCACCCACCACCACCAGCCGCCACCCGCCACCACCCACCACCAGCCGCCACCCGCCACCAGCCACCGCCACCCACCACCGCCACTCACCACCCGCCGCCACCACCCACCACCCGCCGCCACCACCCACCACCCGCCGCCACCCGCCACCCACCACCCACCACCAGCCGCCACCCGCCACCAGCTGCCACCACCACCAGCCGCCATCACCGCCACCAGCTGCCACCACCACCAGCCGCCATCACCGCCACCAGCTGCCACCACCACCAGCCGCCACCACCAGCCGCCACCACCGCCACCACCACCTGCCACCAGCCGCCACCACCGCCCGCTATCAGCCGTCACCGCCCGTTGCCACAGTCGCCACCGCAAGCCGCCACCGCCAGCCGCCACCAGCCCCCCCCACCGCCGATCGTCACCACCCACCACAGCCGCCGCCGCCCGCCACCCCGCCCGCCACCGCCCGCCACCGCCTGCCACCGCCCGCCACCACCCACCACAGCCGCCACCACCCACCACCCGCCGCCACCACCCACCACCACCCGCCGCCACCACCCACCACCACTAGCCGCCGCCGCCACCCACCACCCGCCGCCGCCGCCACCACCACCCACCACCACCGCCGCCACCACCCACCACCACCAGCCGCCGCCGCGACCACCACCCACCACCACCACCCACCACCACCGCCGCCACCACCCACCACCACCAGCCGCCGCCGCCACCACCACCCACCACCACCGCCGCCACCACCACCCACCACCACCGCCGCCGCCACCACCCACCACCGCCGCCACCACCCACCACCGCCAGCCGCCACCACTCATCACAGACGCCGCCACCCGCCACCGCCCGCCACCACCGCCAGACACAGCCGCCAGTGTCCGCCACCGCCGCCATTGTCCGCCACCGCCGCCACTGTCCGCCACCGCCGTCACTGTCCGCCACCGCCACCACTGTCTGCCACCGCCACCACTGTCTGCCACCGCCACCACTGTCCGCCCGCCGCCACCACTGTCCGCCCGCCGCCACCACTGTCCGCCCGCCGCCACCACTGTCCGTCTGCCGCCACCACTGTCCGCCCGCCGCCACCACTGTCCGCCCGCCGCCTCCACTGTCCGCCCGCCGCCTCCACTGTCCGCCCGCCACCGCCACTGTCCGCCCGCCGCCGCCACTGTCCGCCCGCCGCCGCCACTGTCCGCCCGCCGCCACTGTCCACCACCGCCGCCAAAGCCGCCACGGTCCGCCCGCCGCCACTATCCGCCACAGCCGCCACTGTCCGCCCGCCGCCACTGTCCGCCCGCCGCCACTGTCCGCCCGCCGCCACTATCCGCCACCGCCGCCACTGTCCGCCCGCCGCCACTGTCCGCCCGCCGCCGCCCTGTCCGCCCGCCGCCACTATCCGCCACCGCCGCCACTGTCCACCTGCCGCCACTGTCCGCCCGCCGCCACTATCCGCCACCGCCGCCACTGTCCGCCCGCCGCCACTGTCCGCCCGCCGCCACTGTCCGCCCGCCGCCACTGTCCGCCCGCCGCCACTGTCCGCCCGCCGCCACTATCCGCCACCGCCGCCACTGTCTGCCCGCCGCCACTATCCGCCACCGCCGCCACTGTCCGCCTGCCGCCACTGTCCGCCCGCCGCCACTATCCGCCACCGCCGCCACTGTCCGCCCGACGCCACTGTCCGCCCGCCGCCACTGTCCGCCCGCCGCCACTGTCCGCCCGCCGCCACTGTCCGCCCGCCGCCACTATCCGCCACCGCCGCCACTGTCTGCCCGTCGCCACTATCCGCCACCGCCGCTACTGTCCGCCCGCCGCCACTGTCCGCCCGCCGCCACTATCCGCCACCGCCGCCACTGTCCGCCCGCCGCCACTGTCCGCCTGCCGCCACTATCCGCCACTGCCGCCACTGTCCGCCCGCCACCACTGTCCGCCCGCCGCCGCCCTGTCCGCCCGCCGCCACTATCCGCCACCGCCGCCACTGTCCGCCCGCCGCCACTGTCCGCCCGCCGCCACAATCCGCCACCGCCGCCACTGTCCGCCCGCCGCCACTGTCCGCCCGCCGCCGCCCTGTCCGCCCGCCGCCACTATCCGCCACCGCCGCTACTGTCCGCCCGCCGCCACTGTCCGCCCACCGCCGCCACTGTCCGCCCGCCGCCACTATCCGCCACCGCCGCCACTGTCCGCCACAGCCGCCACTCTCCGCCGTACAGCCTCCCCTCTCTCCGTTAGTAAATAATTATAATTGTTAGTAAATAATAAAAGAAATATAAATTATTAGATTTTTTTTACCCTTAAATTGGTTTTAATATTTAAATTGAAAATAATAATATAATATAAAATATAATCAAAATAATATAATATAAAATATAATTTAATTTCAAGAAATTTAACTTTACCACAAAGATGTGAAAAGGGTTCAGATTATTGGCTCAAACCTTTCATAAGAGATTCATATTGGTATATGAATGGATTATGAATGACTCATGTTAGGAGTGTAAAGTTGCCACAACATCTCAAATTAGTGTTAGATACATATGTCTTGGTTATAAGTTTTGGAAACCTATTTATGTCCACACACAATATCGTATCTGATACGATAAAACAAACGTTTCCAATACTTTCAAATACTTTCCAGATATGTTGTGGCAACCTAAAATTGTTTGCTGGGTGGCCCCTTGGATCTAACCACTTCCTCCAGCCACCCAAAATGTCACTACACCCACATGCAGATATATAAATTAACTCACGCCTACATGAGTAACATGGCTCCTAGCCTAAACTTTCTACCACACTGGTAGTAATAATAGATACAATGCTCACGACATCCAAGATATTCTAGCTCACTTATTTCAAAGGTGGAATGGGGGGGGGGGGGAATTATCTACCTTAACTCTTTCTGCTACATAGTCGATGTATCCTCAGCGAGGGTTGCTGAGGTCTCTGGTCCTGGCGTTTGGTCCTCCATTGATCAGGTTCCAGTCCACATAAGGTCCTCAGTCGACTTGTAGATGCGCGTCTTCACCGTTCTCACACTCTGCAGGCAGGTCCTGCTCCTCTTCCTCTCGAGGCACTGGAGTCAGGTCCCCGTGCACCTCGTCCTCGGAAAATGGATGACACGGTCAGATGAAATTTTAATGTCCAACAAGACCTGTAAACTCACTAAAATTACACTCAAGGACTTCCCCCAAACACTGGGAAGCCTTACCAGATTCCACCTCTTGCCAGTTATCTTGGTCAATACAACAATTGACCACAGATGTTACCATTAACATCTGATCATAACGAGGCTGCCTCGCCACCTCGGCTGAACACGTGTTCACTCCTAAGAGTCTCAAAATTTCTTACTATCTTTCCCAAGATCGATCAAATTGGATCCAGGCACGACCCACGATAGCGAGGTCACCGAAGGCATAAAGAAATGAATGATAATAAGGCGATAACAGAGGTGGTGGCGACCAAGCGAGGCAACCACTACCAGGCACGCTGTGCTCTAACAACGCCGGTCCTAGACTGCCCTTTTTGGTGGGCTTAGAGAATACAAAGACGCTCGTCTCTCCCCCTCATCTTGTCTTGTCTAATCAGAGCGACGCCGGCAGGCCTATGAAGTGCTGGTCCCAATCACAAGAGTGATTGGGACCGGCACCTCGTAAACGACAAGGCGTCTACGCGAGGCTAAGGTGCCTCGCCCAATCCGGGACGTCCTTGGCCATGCGGAGCCTCATGACGTCACAGGCCGGGGAGGCCTGGGTTGACGACATCCCCCTAGGGCGGGGGAGGCAGCGAACACCCCTCTCTCTCACACACATTTTTCTATAAAATATCTTAAATGCTGTATTTCCTCTCACAGAGCAGCTACAGGCTTCCTTGTAGTCTTAAAGAGCAGCCCTCACCTTGGCTTTCAGCAGATTCTACAAAAGGGCTTGTAGTGTGTGAGCCTTTCTAGAGCACTAGAGTGCACCATGCACTCTAGCCTAGTCAAGAAAAACTAGCTGGGAATTCCATTCCCTCACACTATAAAAGATAATATCTGTTCAAATTTGGAGGCTACATGATTGGGGCTAACCTAAAATAATTGAAAGATAAATATGTAGATGGGTAGATGGATGGATAAATGAGCCGGTAAATAAATGAATCAATAGATAGTGAAATAGACAGATGATAAATATACTGACAGACAGATCGACAGATAGATGGGATAGAGTTGTAGATAGAGATATGGATGGATACACGGAGAAATAGTTGGATAGATGGACCGATTGAAGGACAGATAGATGGATGAGTCAATTTCATTGCTAAGCATTTAATCAGCGACTTTACTACATGAGAACTGACTCTTGCTACTGTGCGTATTTACGTCGTCCTAACGATGTGTTTACACCGTCCTCATGTACAGGTGCTGGTGGGGTGGTGGCTGGTGTTCTGTCTGATCATTGGCACCGCCTTCAGCTCTTCGTTGATCGCTCACTTGACGGTGCAGGAGAGGACGCGCACGGTGGAGACGTTCCAGGATCTGCTGGACAGAGACCAGTGGAGCTGGGGCACAGAGCGGTGGCTCCTGTCTGGCGTGCCTTTGGAGTATTTCTCCAAGCACTTCGATCCTGTGATACAACAGATATATAAGAAAATGCAGGTACTAAATTCGTGTGTAAAGATCCAAACAGCCCTGATACATTAAAGTATGCAATAAAAACATGCTTTCCATATTTTTTTGTAAATATCTCAATTAAATATGGGACTTTATGATATGTCAATTGGTGTATCCAAAGTATTATTGTTAGGTTCTAATGTCATAATTATATTGAATAAGATCATGTAAGACATGTTAAGACATGTTTGTGAACGAAGGTTGCTTGAAGGTTTTCTTATTCCATGATCATATATCTTCTCTAGTATGGGGTATCCAGCTGTGCCCGGGTCTGTCTTCCCTCTCCCCCAACCTCTCTCTTATTCATGTCCTCCTCTATCAACCACTCTCTCTCCTCTCTCACTACTCTTCTCCTATACCCCAATCTCGCACATAACCCCTTTACTACCCCTCTCGACCTTTCTCCTTCCCCTCTCCCCAACATCCCCTCTTTCTCATTCCTCTCTTCACTCCTACCCTCCTTTTCTCTCTATCACTTCTCCCCTATCTCTCCCAAACTCCCTTCTCTCTCACTTTTCTATTCTCTTCTACTATTCTCTCTTTCTACCAAATTTCCTAAGCTCTCACCTTTTCCTCTTTCTCTAAAACAACATCCCCATTTCCACCCTCCCTCAAGATCTCCCTTCTCACTCTCCATCAACATCCCCACCTCCTCTCTCCCTCTCTCCTGTCTCAGAAAATGTTATATTTCTAACTCCAGTAAAACTCCTTCCTGAAGAAGCTAAATCCCCGATTTCAACTTAAGGAAACCTGCTCAAGAGGGGGGGGGTGTTATTATGGGAGGGAGGGAGGGAGGGAGGGAATTATCAGGGAAAGTGCAAAGCCATGACGACTATATAGAACTTGGAAGGGGTCAGGATAAGGATTTGGGATGGGATGGGGGGAAAGAATGGTGCCCAACCACGTGGACGGCCGGGGATTGAACGCCGACCTGCATGAAGCGAGACCGTCGCTCTACCGTCCAGCCAAAGCCAATATTTATTAGTGTGACTCATGGGAGCTGCTGCTTCTGGCGTCTCCTCTCACTCCCCACCGTATCCGTTTTCTCTCGAGATACAGTTTATAATTTATTTACTTATTGGGATGGAGAGGATTTGGTTTCATTTTATTAAATGTGATAGCTAATTATATTTAAACACATGCAATTCAATCCTAAAACTGCCTGCTTGTAGAGTTTAACTTAATAAACACTTTCACGCGCCCAAGTGCACCCGGCGAACAAGGAAAAAAGTTAGGGCAATGTGCTCTCGGCATTTGCGGGTGATCGAGCAGAAACACTGAAAAGTGTATACTCTCTTCACTGTCTTGATCTTACTTTTCGATGTACAGATTTCATTTTTTACCAATGTGTTCACAATAGAATGTTCTACAAGAACATATGTATAAAATGTCACCAAACTGTGATTTAAACCACTACCAATAAAGAAAATACGTGCATCATTAGCCGTGAGCTAGTGCGTGAGCTCCAAACAGCGAAGAGATGTTTCCATTCTTTTCAGGGTTGTCAACTCCACACTTGTCCTACAGCGTTAAATTTGGTATCTTTGAGATCGCAATAAAATTCCCTACACGGACATATGCATATAAATGAAGAATGATGATCGCGGCCCACCCGCAAGAGTGTGGGAAGTGGGCAAAGTATTATGGGTTACCGCACATCGGCGATCTACAATAGTTTTACCACGAAGATACAAGAAAATGCCGTTCTCCCAAATAAACTATGTGGCTACTAAAGTAAACGTAAATTTTATGGCAAACATGTTGATACTATCCCCAAGTCGATCGGATAAGAATTGAGTTTTATAGAAATATTTGTTCGTCGGACATAAAAAGATGTCCAACACTAACACACGGTAGGCGTCAAGTGACCCCCGACGGACTCGCTCTTGTGTCCACGGCTCTGGAAAGTGTTTTAAGATGTAAATTCACCAATAGAAGATATTTATTGTAATGCAATTTTGCATTTTCTCCACAGAAGATGAAGAATTTAATTATTGTTATTCTTATTAGAATATTTTAAGATTTGTTAAAGTTTCTACAACAAGGAAATAAAATACCTTGTGAACCATTAATTAATGATAACTTATGTAAATATGTGGGATAATTTCCCTCATAATTCGGGGGGGGGGGGGAGAAATACGGGTCAGGGTCCACTGTTTGGGACTGGCCGAACACTTAATAACTCCTTGTCAGAATTACTGAAGTATTGCTTTAATTTAATTTTGCACTTCTGTGCAGCAGAGGAGATAATTTTCTAGAATCTTGAGGCTAGTGGTGCCATTGCACTTCACTTTTTACTATCCTCCAGACTCCCTGACTGTCTAGATGAACAGAAACAAAACGGTCTAGAGTTCACTCTGAATGTGGACCATCACTGTCCACCAGAACAATATCACCAGGTAAGAACTGTAATCTATTGTTGGGGTTGTTTGCCCCATAGTGATACTCATGCAGAGCAGTTAAATATTCTTGAGTCCAAACTTCGTTCCACCAACTGATTACTCTCGACAGGTGTTTATAACTCTGAACCAAGTCGCTCTCTCCAACATATGAAGGATTTCCTGGTCCCATGTCAATGAGGGATGAAATAGAAGTTAGAGATCCCCCATTCATGAGATGAGATGGACATAGTGGTTCATATTGTGAGTTATTGTAACAGAAATAAGTCAGTGGTCTGTAATTTACTCGATACTCAATTTCCGTCATACAGATTTGAAGCTCCTGGAGATCGATTTTTTGGTGCTGCAGGGTTTTCCTTAGACAGCGTTTTACTGTCCCCCACCATTCGCTCGTAGAAGTCTCCTTTCCACGGTGCTCAGGGTGGTATGAATTTCCAGTGGCACTGCCATTTATTTAGGACAGTGCGAACAACTGGGCGATCCCATACCTCCCTCAGGCATTCTTTACCTGTCACCAAGTTGGATCCATTGTCTGAATCATCAACTTTGGGCAGGTACAACAGCCTAAAAACCTGCAAAAGCCCTGGATGAATGATTCAGCACTCATGTCAGGAGTCACCTCTAAGTGAACTCTGCGAGTGGTGACACAAGTAAAAAGGCAAATGTTTGCCTTTACAGGGATTGTGTTCCTGGTGCCAGTTACGGTTATTGCTGCTGTGAAGTCCACTTCAGTGGCTTCAAAAGGATGAAGGTGGACAACTTATTCCTTAGGGAGTGGATAACGTCCTGGATAAGAACACACCCGAGCATAGTACCTCCGGCAAACAACACAGGATTTAAGTATTGACTTTACAGTCTGGTGACTCTGTGAAAGTCAGTAGTCTGAAAAAAAGTCTGAAAGTCTGAAAAAGTCTGCTGTCTGCTGCTGCTGTCTGATCGAAAATACTTGTGTCCGTTGTTTGCCTCCGACCACCTAATCGCAATACTTCTAGCTCATGTTGTCTCTCTTTTTCCTCTCGGTCTCGTCGCTCTTGCCTGTCTCGCTCTTCTCTCTCTCGTTTCTCTTCTCTTTCTCGCTCTTCTCTCTCTCGTTTCTCTTCTCTTTCTCTTTCTCGCTCTTCTCTTTCTCTTTCTCGTTCTTCTCTCTCTCGTTTCTCTTCTCTTTCTCGCTCTTCTCTCTCTCGTTTCTCTTCTCTTTCTCGCTCTTCTTTCCTTTCTCCTAATTCTAAACGCCTCATCTCCATTTCTTTATCTTTTAATTCTCGTTCTAATTCTAATTTCTTCCATTCTATCTCACAATTTATTTCCAAGGCACGCAGTTTGACTGTAAGTAAACTTATATTCAGTTCACTTGCATCACTGTCAACGTCACTGCCCTTATCTTCCTTTTCAGCGGAAGCTACTTCCTCACTTTCTTTTGTAATTTGTGCCTCGCTTTCCTGTTTCTCCTCTGCCTTCAAATGCTTGTGAACCTTGGACAAGATCTCCACACGGGAATCACTGGCACGTATCTTTATCTCCAGAAAGGCACTTACTAACACAAGTTCTGGTTTCCCCAGATATTTCAATCTGGCAAGACAGTCCTCCCTGTTCAGAAAGGCCTGAACATCGTCCAGATCGTCGATGGTCGCTTTTTCTGCCATTGTCACTTAAATGGAGCACTAGCACTTAACACACCACTTTCACTTTAGCACTTAACGCACCGAGCACTTTACTACGTCAATATTGCACTTTATCGCACCTGACACCGCACTTGCCAATATTGCACGTAATTACACCGGGCACCGCACTACGCAATATTGCACTTAATCACTGCGAGCACCGCACTCTACAATATTGCACTGAATCACTCCGAGCACCGCACAGGATGTATAACGTCCTATGTCGGAAAATCCGACACCATTTTATAATCATACAGATAATAGCTGTATTGTATAAACAAGTTACCCATAGAAAACGTAACTTGTAGTGGAATTACCGTCTATAGAAAACGGGATATCATCACCACATACTATTATAAATCACCACCTATTATGGTGGGAATTATTCTTAAATACATTAGTCTTTGGACTTTACCATCATAAAAACATCTTATATAAATTAACTTAATTATCAATATTAAAGTAGAGTAAATGTGACCCTTCTATCACTTTCTGACATTTGGACAATGTAGGCCAGGCGTCAGTGAGGGAGGGAGGGTAGCCATTGTTGTTGATACTAGACCAGAGGCGCAGGGAGCAAATTCGGCTCCTGTTAATTTTACTTGGACGTAGTGTTATGGAAACCAAAGGTGTACCATCTCCAACACGCTGTCATCAACTCAAGTTAAGTGTTCTTTCCGAAACCCCATTTCCATCCTTAGTGGCCAATAATGTCATTGGGTAGGGTTAGCCGGTTAGATCACGAAATCGCCTCATACTAAAGGTAATTAAGCCAGGTCTTTAATGTTCCATGTATAGTGTTTTCTCTGACATAGCTTGTCATATATAGGTATCTGGCTTTACAGCTAGCGCCCTTTTGACAGGTCAAGACGAGGAAGCAAGATTTTGTGCACCAGTTACTGGGTGATGGAAGCTACCTCAAAGAGGATAATTTGGTGTCTACACCTTAGTTATACCTGGTGGACTAACC